TATGCTGAAAAAAAAGTAATTAAAAGGACTTTTCAAAAGTAAAATATATATACATATATATATGTTTTTGCAAGGTACCCTTTTTGAGCGATGACAGTCATTAAAAACTAGTATCTAAATTAGCTAAACATAATACCAGGCCTTTGTATCTCAATCTCATAAAACTTAAATCGAGATTTTCCAAACTAATGGAGCCAGTTTAATCACATTGATCTCACTAAAACATCATTAATCTTTTTAGAGAGAACAAAACATTCCTTACATCTTTAAAAATAAAATTGAAATTTAATTTTGTAAATGCTATCTCACCATTTGAATTTTTCCTGTGTGTATTTTAACGTTTAGTTGTAAATGTGTAGATTTAAGAAATGAATGAACACACATAAACGGGGGCTACTTGCGTTTAAAGGTTTTAAACATGAGGGCACGATCCAGTGTGTGAGACCACGGCCCACAATGGGCACCGAGGGGCTCTGCCTTACTTGTCCTTGGATCTCCAGCCTGTGGCACCATGCCTGGCACATATTTCACACTCAATATAGTTTGTCAAATAATAATAATAAAAAAAAAAGGCCACTTTGGAGTGGCATAGAATAAGAATTTTAGAACTGGAAAAATAAACTGAAACCCATCTCCTCGTTTTCCATCAAGGAGACAGAGGCTTAGGCAGGTTAAATCACAGAGCTAATGGATGTGTGGTGAAAGGAATGTTTTAGGAAGATTGATCTGACATAGATCTATCGGATGCTTCCGAGAAGAAAAAGACCATAAGCAAAAGCACGTGTTAAGAGACGACTGCAATCATCACAGCAAGAGGTAATGAGAGCGCACCCTGGGAGGATGGGAAGGGATGAGAAGCAGAGAAGGATCTGAAAGACACAGAAAACGCTCCTCTGGGCAGTGCTTTCTCACTGTCAGTAAGATTTCATTGTGACCTATTTCTACACATGCTGGTATCAATCATGATACCCAGATATTTTTACCCATGGCCCCGAACTGCACAAAAAGACATAATTAGCAATTCTTTTGACTCATCTAGGGCCTCTGAGAGTGATTCATACCCTCCACTACACAATTATCCACCACAAATATAGTTCAACCTCTGTCTATTCCAAGCAATGGCTCTTTATAATGTCCGTCTGCATGCCTTTTACTCCATCACTATAGCACTGAGTCCAACCTCTTTAACTCAGTTTTTAAGATCCTCCATGTTTTTTTCTCCTTTCCCTAAGATAATCAATCTCAATGCACATTATTCTATAACACAACAATGAACAATCTTTCAGAATCAGATAGCAATTTTTATCTTTCACATACATGCTAAGATCAAGCATGCATTTGAGTTAATAATTTCTTTTACAATGAAAATGCAATAGAATAAATGCCTTCAGTAAGAAAAAAAAACAACAAACAAACAGTTGACCTCTTTCATTCAAGACGAGCAATCCAGAGAGAATCAAAGTTTTGGTTGTCAGTAGGAAGGAAAATAATTTGGAGAAGCCCGAGGATCATGGGTAAGAAAGGCCAGGATAAAGTCTGGGCAGGCAGAAGACAGACACTGGGTGGAGTGTCTGCGATTCAGAAGAGATCAGCCACAAGATGGGCAGGGGCCCTGGAAAGGAGGCATGAATATCCCCTGACAAATTGTGCAGAGAGGTGAGGGGCTGACCACTTGTCCATAGACTATGGACATCATTGCCTGGCCCTGCCAGCCCACCACGCCTTTGCCCCTCTACAAAGTACAATAGTTGAAAACTAGCCAGGCACGGTGGCTCATGCCTATAATCCTAACACTCTGGGAAGCCGAGGCGGGAGGATTGCTAAAGGTCAGGAGTTCAAGACCAGCCTGAACAAGAGTGAGACCCCATGTCTACTAAAAATAGAAAGAAACTAATTGGCCAACTAAAAATATATAGAAAAAATTAGCCAAACATGATGGTGCATGCTTGTAGTCTGAGCTACTCGGAGGCTGAGGCAGAAGGATCGCTTGAGCCCAGGAGTTTGAGGTTGCTGTGAGTTAAGCTGAAGCCATGGCACTCTAGCCCGGGCAATAGAGTGAGACTCTGACTCAGGAAAAAAAAAAGTTAAAAACCATCTTGCATTGTTTTGAAATTCAGGCCTAGCTTCTCCAGTGAAAATAAAACTTCTTGAGGGTGATTTTTATGCATTTCACTTTTGCTCTTCCTTCAGAAAAAGAGCAGAGTAAGTGAATTAAGAATGATATTTTGAAACTATTAGTGTTTCCATTCTATTTTTTTTCCAGTTATCATTTAAAACAGCATAGCTCTTAAAGCTTTAGAAGCAGGTCCTTATTTGGGGATTGGTTTATAAACTGCATGGTTGAAAATACATCACAGCCCAGGACTTTCTCTACAGCTGGTGATGAAGAAATGAACAAAGCTGGAGCCCAAAAAGACCAATATAGTTGATGTGCTTAGACAAATGTCAGCAGCTGCCAGGGAAGATTTCATACTTAGAATGGTTGGTCGGCTAGAGATTGGTTCTATTATAAGAATTTGTTTCCTCTGCAAAAGAAAAGTTTGAACACATTAAATCTTAAGTGAAAGTTCTAGAAGCCTGGGCACATAATAATTTTTAAAAAATTAATTACAAAGCACTGTTTTCCAAGTGAGTTCAAAAGTTTTCAGCAAAAGAAAATAATTTAAAAGGAGACTTTTGTCTTTAAAAAAAATTGCACCACAGGAATAATACATTTCTGTATTTTTGATGCCCAAAGCATAGAAATAGGCATCCCATAGTCTCATCTGTGCCATTTATTTATTCACTTATTCATATACTCATTCACTGATTGTCAATATGTGTTGTGCATTGTACTAACTATTGGGGAAACAGAAAAATAGGACATCCTCATCCACAAGGATGTCAAACTGTGGGAGAAATGCAATGTTTTTAAAAATGACAAATGCTTTAACAGGAATATATACCTATCTTGGGTGTAGGGCCATGACTGAGTAATAAATGGGTTTCATTAAATAGGTATAAAAATTGTGTGAATTAGGCAGTTGGAAGCAGACAAGTAAAGACTATGGTTTCTGGAAATCAAGAATAAGCTACAAGGTAAGACATCCAGGGTGTCCAAACATATCCTAGAAATCCTATAATCATCAGGTGACAGAAACAAGCTAGATGTCAATAATCCAGAAAAGCAGGACCCCTGCCAAGAACTAGCAACATTAGCAGAGGCGAAAAACACACCAGCAATCTACAAGGTCAGGCTAGAAATGAAAAAGCAGGAAAGTCTTGGGGTAAAGACGGGCTAGTGATCTGGAATCACAGACCTTTGGTCAAGTTTATTTGGGATCACAGGTCAGGAGTAAGCCAGATCTTGAAGAAGGTAAACTCCTCTCTGTCATGAGCGTACCATGTGCCAGGCATTTGGATAGTCACTTTATATAAAACATCTCTCTTAATCCCCCACCCCAAACTAGAAGAGAGTTGTTAGCAGATGAGAAAATTGAGATTCAGAGAGATTAAATACCTTACCCCAAATCACAGTGATCATCTCCCAAACCGTGAGAAAGTTGTTTACAGATGAGAAAATTGAGATTCAGAAAGATTAAATAACTTGCCCCAAATCACAGTGATCTTCCTAGTAGAGCCAGAATTCAAACCTTGAGGTCTGGCCTAAAAGTCTGTGCACAGTGAGTCTCATCTACTTGCTTCCTGCCTGGAAAGGCACATTGAAAGTGATTTCAGCTGCTGCGGGAAAGTGTGGAAGCTTTGACTGTAGATTAATTTAGACAAGCTGGCTAAGAGACAGGGAACAAAGATGAAGGGCGGATAATAACAAAATGATCCAAGAAACTTGCATTGAGTGATCGAATTAGATTTAGCATGGCAGTTGTGGGGTTTTTTTTGGTTGTTGTTGTTTATTATTTTTATTTTGCAAAACTTCAAGATGACAGCGATTATACAATCAGGAGTCTTGGCACCTTTGACGTTGGCTCCGTTATTGCATGTCCAAGTAAAGCTTCTAATAGCTAAGGACATTTTAGTGGCTGAACAAAGAATGCATTAAATAAGTTTACTCAGGAAAATCAAAGACCAAAGAATGCAGGATCAGAGGCTATGAAATAAACCTTAGTCTTCTGCCTCAGCTAAACCATTTCTTATCACCTGTGGAACAACCTGAACTGAGGTATTGCTCCAAGCCTGCACTAGGGGAAATACCTGGGTCGCTGTTGACAGGGACAGAGAGAGGGGTGGTGTGCTGCTGCTTCTTACTTTTTGTTCCTGGTGGTATAAAAGCTACCAACAAACACTTTGTGGAAACAGAATTTAAAGTCAACATTCAGCAAACAGCGATTGCCTGAGATAAAGAGAGTGGTTTTGTCAGACAATTAAGAAAACCTAAGTTAGAAGGCTGGGTTAGGATATGATGTAGCAGAAAAGAAAGAACTATGAGCATAGGAAAGAATGAACAAGACAGATGGGGAAGAGATTATTTTAAAATACGTTTGCCGGTTTTGCAAGATGAAAAAAGTTGTGGAGATGGACGGTGATGATGGTTGTGGAAAACGCATAACTTTGCAGTTCCACACCCCAACCACTTCGGGCATGGATTCCACCCTTAAGATCACGGCCATCGAAAAGGTGAAGGACTCAATTTATCACAATTAACGTCCTTTATTGTCAGAAGCGCCTGCCTCGCACCTGAGGCACTTTTCTCCCAGCGCCCGCCAAGTGCCCGCCAAACGCTGTTCCCTCTGCGCGACCAGTAGGACGACACACTTCCCCTTGTGAAAAGGGTGGGACCGTCCTACGCGGCAGAAGGCATTATCTTGTCTTGGATTGGGAAGGCCTGTCTGAGTCGTTTCCACACTTCCCAGTTATCCCATCCCCACTGCCTCAGAGGGAAGCCCCTGAACCGAGCGTCGCCTCGGCAGCCGCACACAACGCGCCCGCCCGGGAGACGGGACGACGGCCAGCCGGATCTCGCGAGAGCCGCTGCCGCGCGGGAGTTCTCAGGTCGTAGGGGCACGGCGCTTCCGCAAAGATGGCGGCGGCTGCGGGCGGTGGCGCTCGCCTGGCGGTCTGGGGCGGACGACTGCGGCGCGGGCTCGCCGCCGGCCGACGGGCCGTGCCGAGCCCTGGCCCCTTGGCGGCGGCAGTGGCCGGCGCCGCCCTGGCAGGAGCAGCAGCTGCCTGGCACCACAGCCGCGTGAAAGTCGCGGCGCGCGAGGGCAGCCTCGGCGTCCTAGCTCAGGTATGGGACGGGCACTTTCTGGGTTCCCCAGCCAAGCTCCTCCCTCCTCGTGCGCGCCTGGGTGGGGAGGGGTGCGGAGCTGCGCGCGCAGCCTGCAGTCCGCTCGAGGGGTTGGGGCGCCGCCGCGGGAGACCCCCGCCCGGGGGAAAGTGCTCCCCTCTGGACGCGGCCCCCACCACGCCCCGACGGCACCGCAGGCCAGTGGCCGGAGATTCAGCCTCCCGCCGGGGAACCCCACGGTAGCCGAACACCAGGGACACCAAACCACCGCACAGATTTGGTGGGGTCGAGTGTGGGCGTGTGTTAATTCAGAATTTCTCGCTCATTTCTCACTTTGTCAGCCTAACTAAAGCGGTCTTACCACCTCTTTTTGTATAGCGTGGTGAAGTTGTTCTAATAGATGTCATGAAAATGCCAACCATAAAAATTAACCGGTTGATAATTTCCACATTTTTCTTATCAACTGTAAGAAACATCATTACGTGTTTATAAACCTTTAAAGCTTGAGTGGCCCGTAAGTACTAAGCAAAAAAAAACCATTTTTTCGAAAACCTCAATTTTTAAAAAATCAGTTTCCCTGCTTCAGGATAAATAATATTGCCATGTAAAACATTTGAAAATTTGAAAGTGAGTACTACTTTTAAAATATTTTACAGTCATTTTAATTTTAATAAGTTTTTTTGTGAACTCTTTTGAAAACTAAAAGTAGTATTCTTTTTCTTTGTTAGATTTACATCATCCTTTTCTAAAGAAAAGCTCAAGGAACATTCAGATACAACAAAAGAGAGAGCAAAGTAGGCTTTGTGAATTAAAATTAGATATTGGCAAATGATATTTGTATTAATAAATAGATAATACATAATAGAAATTATACTATAGTTATAATATTACTATAATGTATATGTAATGGAAAGAACTAGGTTCTAGTGTTCTATAGCATTTTTGTTAGTCTTGTGTCAAGGAATTCAATTTATTATTCACCTTCAATTTCTCTCCCCTTAATTCATCCTGTTTAGGACCCTTAGGCTAATCTTCCCCAGAATATCACTTTAACCACACAATATACCGTTCTTCAGAAACTATTAATGCATGCTCATTCTGCCCAGAATCAAACCCACATCTTTAAACTTTGTCACTCAGAGCCCTTCATTGTCACACTCTGACCTATCACTACTCAGACACCTTCCTACCAAAGTGATTCACTCACTGTCTCTAGAATGTGACTTAATTCCCACCTACCTCCAGCAGCAATGTGTAGACTCTGATTTCACTTACCCATCTCATTGGTTTTTTTCTGGCCCACCCTAGCCTATTCACGTTTTAAATTCCTGACTTGACTCTTAACAACTTCACACTAGTGCAGTATTTTGGATTCTCTCCCTAACTCCCAGTCCTCCCCACAACTTTGTAACTTTCAGCCTACTTAAAGTAATACAGAAACCATTTTATTATCAATTGTTTTGTAAGGTCTATGGAAACAGCATGTGTTTGGTCTACTGTTAAACCAAGACAGTGCTTCTCATCCTTTTACTATCACAGTGGACATTCCTTTTATCTTCAGTGCCTGCATACAGGAGGGATTGAGGGGCCCTACAGCTTGAAAACTCTTCACCTCAGTGCTTTTGATACATTTTTCTAAGAAGTGAGGCTGTTAATCCTCACTTCTACCACCACTACTTTGGGGGCAAGTGGCCGTAGTTGAGATAGATATATACCAGAATTTTGGCTTGTGATTAATCTTTCATCTCTTGATACAGTTTTATTTTATGTATTGTTATAGTGATTTTACTTAGTATCCCAAGATAGTAAAATCTTCCTGATGTGGATCTGTAATAGTAATAATGTCCTTCATTTTTTAATCATTACACTAAATGATTTTTCCAGTAAAATCAGTGAACTTATGTTGATGGAGTCCAGAACTTTTCTGGTTCCCGTTGTGACCAACGTCTTGCATTTGTGAGGGTCAATCGGGAATTAAGGGTAGAAGTCCAAGTCATGAAACTGCAGATAAATTGGAATCTCTTTTTTTCTCCCCTTTCTTCCTTCCTTAATTAGTGAAATGCTGCTCTGCCAGGCAGTATGCAAGAAGTGGGGATTAAAGACAGAGGTTATGTGGTTACAGTTTAATGGGGAAGAGCAATTTTAATGCAGTGTGATAAATGCTGTGGTAGGTGTAAGTGCTGGGTGCTGAGGGAGCATCCTGGAAGAGCACCTAATACAGTCTTGGTTTCATGAAGGAATGATCTATAGAATGACACTGAGGGGTGACTGGGAGTTTGCTAGGCAAAGACAAGGTGAAGAGTGTTGTAGGCAAAGGGAATAGCTTTACAGAAATCTGGAAGTAAGAGTCTGACTCAGCATGTGAGCTGCAAAAGATTAGGTCCAAAACTGGGCATGAGCAGTGGCTGGGATTCAGATCATGAAGTGCCCCTTGTTCCAGTGTGACACGAATTTTTATCTTAAGGACAGCAGGGAGCCACTGCAGGGATACTTAACCCTCATGGATCCCCAGGGATCTGGGCATAGAATTTAGAAAATATGAACTTAAAAAAAGATTACATTTTTGTTTCTACTGACCCATAATTTAACATTTTCTTCAATTATGAATGTAGGCAACAAGCTATAGTAGTAGTATTGTAACTGACTTTGTCATCAACAGATATCTCAGATATTTTCCTACTATATTATAGTTGTTGTAGTTATCACAAAGTATCACTTACTCAAAATTACTTATTAAACCTGCCACCATATCATGTTATTTAATGCCTCAAAAAGTACTTGTATTACTATATCACAAATTTGATTTTGACCATTGGAAATAGTATCGAGACCTTAGTAAAGAGTGCATTGAAAACTGGAGTTAGGGAGCTATTACAGTAATTCTGGAGAGAAGTGATGGATAAATTAGTGGATGAATTTGAAATACATTTAAAAGATTTGTAAAGAGTCTGAATTGCAAAAGTGTTATGTAAAATGTATTGTTCAAAAAATGTATATTGATCACAACTGGGCAACAAAAATAATGCCTCCTACAAAGAAAAAAAGTATATGTATAATTTTTTTTTTTTTTTTTGAGACAGAGTCTCACTTTGTTGCCCAGGCTAGAGTAAGTGCCATGACGTCAGCCTAGCTCACAGCAACCTCAAATTCCTGGGCTCAAGCAATCCTACTGCCTCAGCTTCCCAAGTAGCTGGGACTACAGGGATGCCCAGCTGAATTTTTTTCTGGGTAGGCGTATGATATCATTAATTTCGTTCTATTTATACGTAGAGACGGGTCTCATTCTTGCTCGAAGGCTGGTTTCAAACCTCGACTTGAGCAATCCACCTGCCTCCCAGAGTCGCTAGGATTACAGGCATGAGCCACCACACCCAGCCAAAGAAATTCTTAGTGGAACTTGCCTTAGAGCATGTCAGCATATCAGTGTAATTCTATGTAAACTGCGTTCGTTCTAAAACATGAAAGAAGATTGAAAATCGTTCTAGATTTTTAATATTAATCCTATTATAATAATTGTATTTGATTCAGCGTATATAAAATCAGATAAGAAATGGATGGAAAGCAGAGGCAATATATTCTGTTGTTCTAATCTCCTATAAAAGGATAGCGCTGTATTCTAAATAACCCTTATATATTAAAATATTATAAAAATTATTTGGGTAGGGAGTTAATAGCTAGGGAATTTTAGAGTGCAAGAGCAAAATTATTTCTTTCCTGCAGGAATTTTCAATAATGAAAGTGGCTTTTATTGTATTTTGTTATTAGCAGAGGAATGAAAGAGGACTCAAAGGGGTCCAGATGTTAGCAGGCTGCCAAATAGCTAGCCTCTACCTCTAGGCCAAGGAGAGAGAGTGGACAGTAAAGGAATTAAGAACTGTGAGGAGATTGTTCCAGCTGGCCAAAAGGAGAAGAGTTTACAAAGTCCAGCTCCAGAATCACAAAGCAGGGTAGATTAGAAGCTGGGAGACAATAACAATTGATAACTGGTATATAGTTCAAGAGAGTTCACCAGTTTTCAAAGGAGACAGGGAAACTGCCCATTGCCTTGTACAAACGGTACAAGGCAAAGATTTTCATATTTGCATTATATGCAGTGCTAAGAATATGGTGAAAACTTGATATGGTCCAACTTGTCTCTTTTTGTTTTGCAGTTAGTCAAATAAATTTTAAAACCCAATAAATGACTTTTATTTCAGTATTGTTCTCTCTGCACTGGAATGAGAGCCTGCCACTTAGTACTTGATAAATGTTTGCTTGGGTAGACATACTTACATTGTTTGAATAAGTCCCACCCCCCACGAAGATTTGCCTGGTATTACTTACCTATTACCCTTTATAAAATTTCTAATAATTGTATAGAAATTGAGGTTTAGGGTTTGGCTTATACTGTTAAAATTATAATTTTATACTTTTGAGAGGGAAATCATTAATGATGCAGAAAAAGTCAATGAGTCCGAGTGTGGATGGTACATTTTATGTGTCCAGCTGTGGCTAGGCTATGGGTGCCCAGTTGGTATGGTCAATCACCATTTCAGATGTAAACTGGGAAGGTTTTTCTAGAATGTTAATATTTAAATTCAGTGAAACTTCCGAGTTAAGGCAGACGATCCTCCATATAATATGGTATTGTCCTCATCCAGTCAGTGGAAGCCTTAAGAGCAGAAGACGAAAGCAAGGGAATTTGGCCCTCAGACTGCAATTGCGCAGAAACTATGAGCTGAATTCCCCAAGCCGTCCTCCTGCTGGCCCCTGCAGATTCTTAGAGCCTCAAGACTGCCAAACTACAACCTTTAGCCAATATTCTAGTCCTCAGTCTGGCTAGCTTGGCCCAATGGATTTTGGACCCTTGTCAACCCCCACAATTGTGATGAACCAATTCCTTAAATATTCTTTCTCTACTTCTCCCCCACTCCCGTACGTTTGGGCGAGGAAAAAAAAAAAAGGTTATATATTTATTATATAGTGGTATCTGGTATATATATATATATCTTTTTTTATGA